TCAAAAACGCACACAAATGCGCATGCACACGATCCCATAACCAACATTTTTAACTCAAACCAAATTTGGCTCGCAGCAACTCAACTATATTTTCTTATGATTAGTAAAGGAAAGAATTGCCCGAATGGTGATATTTGATTATTCAACTTGGTGACTAATACAACAGCGGGGAACACCGCTTACAAACACTCTGAGTACAGAACACTATCAAACAAAATTGTTGTTAAATTTGATGGCTTATATACTTGGCGTATGTGTGTGTGCTCAGTGAAGCCAATGGATGCTTAGATGAGATGTGATGGATAAATCATTGATAAGGTCAAAGTTGAATTATTCATAGCGCTAGTCGTTATCTTTCGTTAGTGTTGAATTGAGTATGAATATAATGACAAGCTTGATTGTCTACTTGTCATCGTCATAAATCTGTTTAATATTGCTTATGTTTTTACGTAAATAAGTGGTGTGTCTGTGATCAACAGGCGTATTATTTGAATGATCGTTATGCTTTGTTTTAATTAAACAGTCGTATTCCACAAGTGGTTTACATGTACTTCTATTGGAGATGCGCTTCTAATAGAACAAATACAGTATGTGTTTACTGTAAACCACAACATCAAATGTTCAAGAGTTTGGGTAATTCAACAGTCGATAGTGACGAAAATTAAACTGTTTACAGGATAGTGTCTTATTGCTTAGGATTTGAAAATAATGCTGCAATAACATGATATTCAAATAATTTAACAGGAATTTTTATCTTTTTTTGTTTTGTTTTTTTTAGGCTGCACCTGCCCCAGTACGACTTCATGCAGATCAAGTAAAAGAAACCTCATCACCAGAAGATCAGTACCCATCACCACCGCCACTTGTTTCAACAGCACCCAGACCAATACCTGTGCCAATTCCGACACCACCATCTCCTCCTTTATTAGCGGCGTCATCACCCCAACCACCACCTTTTGTAAGTACTAAAGTTTAGCATTCTTATGCAGTATTTATCGAAGTATGTGTCTTTGTTTCTCAGGAAATTTAGAAAAAAAGTGTCAGTGTTTTTATATTGCATATGTATGTATGTATGTATGTATGTAGGTTGGTTGTATAATAAGCTTTGTGCCATGTAAACACGACCAGACACCCGTCTGTCCTGAGTAGCAATAACTACCACTTTCTTGCTTTGATAATGCTATTGAGCCTTAGATTTCCTGTGAGATTGTGATCATCAGATATATCATTGTCGAAGGGAATCCATTAGTAATAGTTTTATCTGCATCGTTATTGTTTTGGTTTTTGTGAGATTGATAGTAGATTGTACTATCAATTATTTAGACTGATATATTATAAAGTTTATGCAAGGCTACGAGTCCAATTGCTCTGTCGTATTACCAGTGATTCCTCTAAGCAAATTTAACATTGAGAAAATCACTTACAATCAGGTGTATTTGAATACAAAATACATGAAATTGAAGGTAATTTTACTCGGATTTGGCAAGATCACTGAACATAGGCTCCTCACTGCTCTTCACTGCCAGGATTTGGTGTGATTTGAGAATTAAATGTTGTTCGTGAGGAAAGCATTTTGTGGAATTTGCTATGGTTTGGCAGTGACTGCAAAGACTGTAATCATGAGTTTTACTGACTCGTGAAATGAAATGTTGTCAGTATATTTATTACAGCGTGAATACCCTCAAGTTGTACATGTTCATCAATCGCTACAAATTTCCGACATACGATAATTTCTAGGGCCAATACGAGAACGGAATTTGTGATGAGTCTCACTCGCTGTCTGAAGAAACCTAGTAGTAGTAAATTGCACTGCTACAGAAGATCACTATTTTCAACAATTATTAAAATCCACAAAAATTTGTCTCGAGAAAATTAGGTCAGTCTGCAGCATTCGATTGGCAATTCAAAGTGCAGTATTACAGTTCCAGAACAGTTTCTTCCATATTGTTCTTGGCGTTCCCACTGCAAATAGTAACGACGTGCTCGCTATCTCATTGGATTGAATAAAAGTTGTCCTGTTGAGACAAAGTACAGTCAACATTTTCAACATAGTTGCTTGGCTGCGTCAAATTATGCTCCCCATAATTGGGCAATACCACGTCCATAGGTTTTGGTGTCTGGGAAATCTTTTAATTTCTGAAAACGCAGTCCATTTATTTCCGAGTCGCACAAATGTGTGTGATGCTTCTTTTACAACCAATTGAAACCTCTCACTCTCGCCTGATGTTTAAATTAGGATAATGATAGCCATATTCGTCATATCTTGCAGTCCATCATGTTTTGTGGTTGCAATTTGTAAATATAAACCTTTTATTCTCCGTTTTGAGGCCATAGTAATGCAAAGGATGGTGCGGGTGATGTTTTGGAGCGAACACTCTCCCAAAAATTTTGCCCTTCCAAAAATTTCCAGGGCATGACAAAGTACTAGGTTATACTATAACAGTCATCTTGTATTAATTGCAGGTTAATGGAGTTGGGGAAGACGATTGGGAATATGAAGAAATTACTTTGAAAAGAGTAAGTAAATATGTTTATCTAAACAGGTTAAGTTACAGTATACATGTATTGGACCAGGTGTGTTTATAACTAAGTACATGCTTCATCAATGTAGTTACGCCTTTGAGGTACTCCTCCAATAGAGTGAATTTTGTGATTCATTGTAAAGAAACCCTTCAACAAGCTTAGCTTGTAGCAATGACACTTTGGTATTCTTGTTGATACCAGAGATGGTAATCAATGTGTGTATTGATTACTTTAAAACAGACAAGAAACTTGACAGATCCACGTCTTTAGTGAACTATTCATAGATTATATTTAAATGATGTCATGTGATCTGACAATCATCCAATCAGATTGAAAAGTGTAACATTTACCTGTACCCCCTACCCATATAAGGTGTTTATTTTTACCATATTGCAGTAAAGTATTGTTGTAGGTTTGTGGACAGTCGGAGCTCTAGCATTTTATTTCATTTTTGCGCGTAAACAAAATTCCACAGTGCCCCAAAGTATAAAAAGCAGTGATTTTTTTTTTCTGCTGTAAATTGCCATTGGATGTCATGTGTAAGAATAAAATGTTCATTGCTGCAAAACATTTAGTGAGAAGTCACAAATTTTTGTACGTTATAAAAATATTATGTTGGTAGCTATGATTTGAAATTTGACATTAGTTTAAATCCAAGTTAATTTTTCAGTCTCCAAAACTCATAAATTTCAAATTTCAGAAGCTTTGAAAGTTGTAGGTCAAAGGTTGTGCAATATGATGTTAATTTAGAATGACAGATATAAAATAATCATTTTAGGTCATGTGATAGTTGCAGATCTCTGAACTTCGCACTGAAAATAATGCACGATATTGTAGAAAAGTTAAAGTTGGATAGATATTGTCGGTTGTGATGTGTTTTTTAATGTGATACATTAGGGGTGAAATACTACACGAATGGAGGAAGTCTGAATAATTTGTGTAGTCTTTGTGAATGTTGTTAAACATGCTCCATGAAATCTAATCTTTCATCATGAATAATGCTATTTAGAGCGGTGAAAAACTCAATTAGTCAGACATGGGGTTTAGTGTAATTTGCCTCGTAACCTCATCTTAGTTGAGTAGTCTTTAAACGTGTTTTTTTGTTTTACTGCATTGCATTTCAGTGTTACCCCCACTGGGATATGCACTAAATCTTCTTCACTGCGGATGTCTGTATGTCAGACTTCATGGATTTTAACGAGTTGTTCCTTATAAAAGTATCTGTGATCAATCGGGACAGCGCGAGACACCCAAGTAAATAGAATTTCCCCATGCAATAAGTTTAGCTGAGTGTCCTGTCTCAGCTGTGATTCTTACCCAACTTTGAATTTCCTCTTTGAATTATGATATGCAGGTCCTCCTGCCCCTCCAGTAGTCTCCTGCTTACTTTGTAGTTTCTGTGCCCTTGCAGTATTACTGTTATACATTTGTTCATTGTAACGCCTTTGTGTTATGAATGCATTTAATAGTGGGGAAAATTTTTCCGTAATTAGTAACGCATCTCGCAACGCACAATATTAATATTTTTTAAATTAAAAGCCATGAAATATAATGTTTGATCACCAAACTTAAAGTACTCTTATACATGTGGGAATTGGCTGACGTTGAATTTTGTTGGACGATGTTTGCAAATGAGGTTAGTATCGTGCATTATGTTAGGGTGAGATGCATCTCTGTACTGTTTATATTTCAGTGGATTAAGTTTTAGTGGTCCCCTTGTGAGGTAATTACTGTTTATAAGAGAGGTACCTCCATAAGATGGCAATTGTTTGAGATGTATACTCCTTATATTTTACCTTGATCATATCAAACCCCCTAGTAAAATTAAGAAAAAAATGATTAAGCCTAATAAAAGCTCCTTA